TTTTTTTTTTTATACAGAAATGTAGAAATATAAAAATGAAAATAAATGCATTTTCCCAGACCAAGACTAGACTCAGTTTTTATACGCATAAAAATATTTCATATTATTACAGTACAGTATAACAGTGACCGTCAGTTGCTTTCTTTTCATCTTTTTGTATGAAGCGCCGACCGCGCCACGTCACAATCACCTACCGAACTCGCGTGAGTCCTCCCACCGCCCACGCGTGACATCCGAAAGAATACAAAATGAAATAAATAAATAACGTTACATGAGCAAGGTGCAGTTCCGCCAGGAGCCGTGAGTGTGTGTGCGCGCGTGAATGTGTGTGTGGCGTCTGTCTGAAACATCAACCGCTTGCGTTAGACATTCAAAACGGGGGAAATATCAGCACCACCATCCTCATCATCTTCATCATCCTCCTTCTGTTCCGGGCGGAAAACCTGTGCGCGCGCCAGCCAAATTAAATTAGAGTGGTGAAATTATTTGTGCGAGCTGCCTATGAAGGGGAGGAAGGTGTGACACACACACTACAGAGTGTGTGTTGTGGTTTGCATTAGTGTTAATGCTCTTACTTACTACTCTCTTAATTATCAACCGTGCAAAACTGGAGCACACATGTCGTGATCTGAGAAAAGCATCGGGTTATTCTTATGGATTAACATATGATCTGAATTCAACCCAGGTCAAGTGAGTATCCTGCTCAGTATAGATGTCTACACTGTGTCTGTATAGTGCACTAGATGTCTGTATATTTGGTCTGTGATGTTTGTTGCATGCATTTTTCTGTTATTGGATTAAATAAACTCTATGTATCATATGTTTCCAGTGTTTAATGGATGAGTTCTGGTAAACTAGGGCGAGCATTTCTTTCACAGCATTCAACAAGTATTGCTTTGTGCTGCTTTAATGCTGGTGCATTCATGGTGACATGCATTGATTCTTACACCAGCATTCATGTGGAATAACACGAGCAGCATTCGTGCAGGGTGTCAGGTGTGTGAAATGAGATGCAGAACACACTACATACATGTCCACATGTTTTGCACGGTCTGTTTGAGCGTATATATCCACACACAGCCAGATTTATGCGGATTCAAAGGTGGAATATGATGGCTCGGGATCATTTTCACATATTGGCCCTAGTGTAAGGCAGTCACCATGGATAATAGTGTCATCTCTTTCCTGCAGGGATGAGTAATCCGGGAGAGACGGAGACAGAGAGAGAAACAGACAACAGAGCAGAGCTTGTGTGAACTCGTGAAATAAAAGCATGGAAGAAGGCTGAAATGGGAGACATCAGGTTTTATTTATATACGGTGTAAATAATTAAAGAGCCGTCTATGGATGTTGAACTCGGTGAGCAGTGATCTGGTATGATTGCTGTAGAAACCGAAAAGCCAGTTGACACATGCTGCTGATTTAAATTCATAGTTATGCAAAATACATCCTTATTCCTCAAATTTTAGACAGAAGCAGCTCTTAAATAAAATCACACACTGAGCTAATAGGAACATGTGTTATTAGAACGTCCGCTAGTTTTTATGAATACATTTCTACTTAAGGTTGATGTGCTTGTTTAATGATAGGTACGGTTTCAGATGTTAGAATTAGCCTTGATTGAATTAAAGTAGGTTAATAAGGACTTGGTGTGATTGATGAAGCTTAAGTATTTCAATATTATCCCCTAATTTCTCTGACTTCTATCTGTTCTTCTGTAAACAAACCGTCAAAAAGGACACAAAATAATTAGGCTTTCAAGTTTAAGTCTGTTTGGACTGTGAGATTGAATTGCTATAACGGTCGGCAAGATTTTGATCATTATTTTTGAACGAGTCTTTTCTGCTCACCAAGGCTGCATTTATTTAATCAAATATGCCCAAAAATTGTGAAATATTATTACAATTTAAAATAACTGCTTTCTA